CTTGAAACTTTGAAAATTTCTCTAAAAAGATCTCGTTCAGCTGAAGTTGCTATTGAATGTTGTGTTGATATATGTAAAGCTTCAACTTATGTATCTAGGAAAGATTCGTTGGCTTTACGTTTGATTGTACCAGAAATCGAGAATGATTTACGGGTATGTTTATAAAATAAAAATGAAGATAGAAAAACAAATTATATTCATTAATTATTGTTTTTTAAAAAAAGGAAAGACTTTTTGATCCTGTTAGAAGTTTGACATATGATAATCAATTTAATCAAAGCCTTATGACTGATTGTTTGACTGCATTATTCAAATTAAACAATACTACTTTAAGATCATTTATTCCAGTCTGTTTAAATGAAAATGCACCAAGTGTTTTCAAATTAGTATTGGTTAAAAGCTGTTATGTTATTGCTTCAGATGTATAGTCACAATTTTATGTTTATTGTCTCTCTCTTTTTTTTTTTTTTTTTTTGAGTATTTCTCAAACTTTAATAACTCTCTTAATAATTTATTTTAAAAGGAAAATAAATTTCCTTGGAACCCGCAGCTTTCAACAATGTATCCTGTTCTTGCTACACCACTTCGAAGTTTATTTCATCAATATATTACCAGTCGTGATAAGCTAGATGTTAAGAAAAAGAAGCAAACAAAAGAAAGACCAGATGAAACCAACGAAAGAATGGAAATTATTTTAACGATCTTGAAATTGTATAAATCTGATCCTTTGCTAGTACTTATAGTAAGTTTCAAAACTAATGATTTTCAAAATTAATTGATAAACACATTTTAAAACTTATAATGATAAAATATATTGCATTTAGCATAGTGATGCAAACGAGAACCCTGAGGAGATTCAAATGGTCATTTACGGGATGACTCTATGTGTAAACGATTACAATCCTGTAATTCGCACCACTGCAGCCGAAACATTATTAAAGTTACATGATTTAAAATACATTGAACAATGGAGTCCAAATGGTAAAAAGATGCGTAATTTTTGGGCTATCAGGTAGAGTAATTTTCGGTTTTTATTTTTATTTTTATTTTATTTTTCTAAAAATACTTTAAAATAATATTTAATCGAGTATTCATTACTTTTAGTTCACAAGTTATGTTAGCTATTGCTAGACAAATATTAGAATATAAAGAACCTGAAGAGAGTACAAAATATTTGCTTGATCTTTTACTTCAATTATTTAAACGACGTAACGAATTCTTAAAAGCTCATAAGGTATTTTTTTATATTATATCATGCTTTTGTTTAATGTTTTGACATCATTGATTAAAATATCTTTTTTTTTAAAAAAATTTAAATAAATAAAAAAAAAATATATAAAGGATGAATCTCACATTGGCATTAATATACCTGAAAGGCTTGGTTGTAATATTGTACTTGAAGTTGCATTATTAGTTTTGTTATGCTCATCAGACACAGAAATTTGTTCAATGTCAATGAGTTGTTTTGGTCATTTATGTCAAGAGGCTCAGTTGTTAACTACTGAACTTATAGGTGATGAAGTAGATGTTCAAGCTGTTCCACATTCAGAATTACCAATTGTAAAAAATATAATGTAGTTAGGTTATCAACGGTATGGAATGGAAGAATTAGAATAAATTGTTGAATCCATTGAGATTGTATTTCATTAGATTGCCCAGATTTAGTCAAGTCAATGAGAATTTCATATGGTTTGATCATAAATGGCTCAATAGTCTACAAAAAAAAAATACAATAAAATAATCTCAACCAACTTATTCAATAAATATAATACAACATCACAGAATCCTAATAAACACTTACATGTAAAATATGATACATCAAAAGATCCATATCTATGCAATCGGGCTCAAGCCTACGTAAAATTAAATAAAATATGGGCCTTTTTTCCTAAAAGAAAAATTGTTTTAGTTCCTATTTTAATTTAATTTATTTTGATTTTATTTAAAACAAAAGGATAATATAAATTTATAACTAACCTTTGAAATACCTCCTTTGTAAAATATTTCTTTAGATACTATTGAATCAATATTTCTATTTGCATTTCTACGCATAAATTCTGAAAAAAGCTGATTATTTGTTTCAAAATGATTTGTTCCAATGACAGCAAAATC